TTCTGATACAGTCGGGATTATGGATGTCGAGATTTCGAACGTTCGAAACCGGACTATATCAAAATCCCGACTATATCAAAGTCCCGGNAACTAATATTATAATAAGTTATTAATAATAAAATGTATTGTAAAAATTTTCGATATAGTCGGGATTTTGATATAGTCGGGATTATGTTTGTCCGGTAACCATAATCCAGACTATATCGAAAATGTGATTTTGATACAGTTGGAATTTTGATATAGTCGGGATTATGTTTGTCGAGATTATGGTTGTCGAGATTATGGTTGTCGAGATTCTGATACAGTCGAGATTATGGTTGTCGAGATTCTGATACAGTCGGGATTATGGATGTCGAGATTTCGAACGTTCGAAACCGGACTATATCAAAATCCCGACTATATCAAAGTCTCGGTAACCATAATCCCGACTATATCAGAAAATGTGATTTTGATACAGTTGGAATTTTGATATAGTCGGATGTATTATGGTTGTCGAGATTCTGATACAGTCGGGATTATGGTTGTCGAGATTTGATACAGTCGGGATTATGGATGTCGAGATTTCGAACGTTCGAAACCGGACTATATCAAAATCCCGACTTATCAAATCCGCTATATAACCCGGTAACCATAATCCAGACTATATCGAAAATGTGATTTTGATACAGTTGGAATTTTGATATAGTCGGGATTATGTTTGTCAAGATTATGGTTGTCGAGATTCTGATACAGTCGGGATTATGGATGTCGAGATTTGGAACGTTTGAAACCGGACTATATCAAAATCCCGACTATATCAAAGTCCCGGTAACCATAATCCCGACTATATCGAAAATGTGATTTTGATACAGTTGGAATTTTGATATAGTCGGGATTATGTTTGTCGAGATTATGGTTGTCGAGATTCTGATACAGTCGGGATTATGGATGTCGAGATTTGATCGATTACGTTTGAAACCGGTCTATATCAAAATCTCGACTATATCAAAGTCTCGGTTACTATAATCCCGACTATATCGAAAATGTGATTTTGATACACTTGGAATTTTGATATAGTCGGGATTATGACTATATCAAAATCCCGACTATATCAAAGCGAACGTTTGAAACCGGTCTATATCAAAATCTCGACTATATCAAAGTCTCGGTTACTATAATCCCGACTATATCGAAAATGTGATTTTGATACACTTGGAATTTTGATATAGTCGGGATTATGACTATATCAAAATCCCGACTATATCAAAGTCCCGGTAACCATAATCCCGACTATATCGAAAATGTGATTTTGATACAGTTGGAATTTAGATATAGTCGGGATTATGTTTATCGGGATTATGGTTGTCGAGATTCCGATACAATCGAGATTATGGTTGTCGAGATTCTGATACAGTCGGGATTATGTATGTCGAGATTTCGAACGTTCGAAATCGGACTATATCAAAATCCCGACTATATCAAAGTCCCGGTAACCATAATCCCGACTATATCGAAGATGTGATTTTGATACACTTGGTATTTCGATTTAGTCGGTATTATGTTTGTCGGGATTATGGTTGTCGATATTCTGATACAGTCGGGATTATGGATGTCGAGATTTGTATATAGTCGGGATTTCTAACGTCGGGATTTCGATATACGATATTTCGGTTATCGGCCTGCAATATAGACCTTTAAATTTATGTAAAAGAAGTTTATGCAAAATTACAAAAAAAAATATCGTTCTTATTAAAAAAATTCTTGCAGCGAAAATGAACTTCGGAATGAACATCTCTTGAGTGTTTCTGCGGCCTGGATAGTTTAGGAACTGCGTTCAATTTACGTGGGAGCTCAATTAATTTCTGCGAAATTTAATCAAAATATTAGAACTTGCTTTGTAGCCGCCCGCGTCTGATGCACCGGGGGAGGAATAGGGTTTCGCTCGTTGTTTGCGCTTCTTCTCGAAAGGAAAAAGATGTTCGTATCTTTGGAACATGACCGCAAATAAATCGTGGAAACCGCAGCATCCTTCCTCTCAATGCGAACTTCGTGCTTTGCAGCACACTCTGCATATTAATATCGGCTTTGCGGTGTAAAATATCGCTTTATTTCTGACAAATATTTCAATTTTTATTTGGAAAATTAATAAATTTCAAATGGAATTGTCAAAGAAGAAATAAATCTAAAATTTTGATTGAAAAATAATATGAAAAATTACTAATTCTTAGTTATTAATTAATGATTGTTATATCCGAAGATGCGCAATTTAATACTCTTTCCTGTGTAATCAAAAAAAATTGTTAAAAGTTTTATAGTTTTTGAGTTATTGGGAAAAACATAAAAAAAATATAAGAATTATAAAAATTGTTAAAATTCAATCATTATTTAACTATTAATACTATTAATCTAATCCAAAAAGTTTTATACTTTATGAGTTATTAGGAAAAAAAATACTACATTTACTAATCTCTGTTATATGAAAAGATGCGAAATAAAAGATTTTTTCTGATGTAATCATAAAATATAAAATATAATAGTTTTAGATAAATTTTAAAATTTTTAAGATAAAAATTTTTATGTTACATATAATTTCATAATTTGTCTTCAATGTCTTCAACTAACGTTGTAGATCCTTTTTAAAGTTTGTTTTTAATTTTTACTACCGTTTGAAGATTCCCGAAGAAATAGAAAGTTAACGACGTGCGCGCGTGTTTCGTAAAAGCAAAACAACGAATGGACGATTTCCACACGTAACAAAAACAACAAGCAACGTTTTGTTACACTTTTGTTTTTGCGTCGTCGCGTTATGTCATCCAACGCCTCCTCTTTCCTTTTTTCATTATCGGATCGATGATTTTGCTTCCCGGGAATTCTCATTTCGAAGACCGAAATTTGCACAACTTTAAATAAATTTATAATTTGTGCAAATTCGTTGTTCGTTTCATATATATACACACTTATATTTATGTACACTTGATAAATAACGAAACGTGCACCTTCGAAAACAACCCCTTTTTGGGACAAGGGTGAAAAGTGAATTAATTAAATGGAATTATAACTCCGACGTCGAAACTTTTCGTTTAGCCCGATAAGTGCGCAACTTTACAACACTGTTCGCCAACCCCCCCCCCTCATTCCTTAAAGCCTGTTTTCCTGCTGCACGCAAATTAAGGAAACTCTACTCCTTCCATCTCATCTTTGCAGGCGGTGAATCTGCACCCTTTCAACGTTAACTGAAATTATTTTGGAACTTCTCAAATACACCGAAAGTCAATTT